GATGTAAGATGACATCACCATTCCAATTCTCTCATTTCAAGCCGGAAGAGCCAATAATTCAAATTCTTTATGTAATTCCAGTTCCTCATGGAATTCCCACCTCAGTTTAACACCAACTCCAACTTAGCTGGATAGGGCGGGGTGGGGGGGTGCTTACTTTCTATAGTTCCAGATCTTTGTCATGCTGTAGCACAGGATTCCACAGTCACGCTGGGCAGGTAGGTGGAGCTCAGCCACAGAGTCATCGAGGAAGCAAAGCAGACACACCAACACATGCTGGGAGTATTGGGAAGCTGCAACCGTGACTAGGCCTTCCTTCTGTAGGTGCCCATAAAACCTTCTGAGCCAAACATAGCTTTTGCCTCAGTTGTTATTATATTTCCTTGTTATAGGCATTTAAAAATCTACTGTGTTTGCTCTGTTCCTCAAGAGTCCCTAGTTCTTGTTGGTCTAGACTTGGCAAAGCCTTCTATTTATCATCTTCCACATTCTCACCTATTTAGCTTATAACCCACTGCTCTAAGTGACATACTATTTTCTTTTAAATTCATCAAAATTTTTTGATGGGAAAAAAATTTAAGAATATAGAAAACTAGGGAAAATATTCTATGAGTGCTGGCATGCCCAACACATCAAAGTATTAAATGTTAATGTTTTACACTGTTTGCTTTGTCATTTTTTCCTAAAATAAATCATAATAAGGATATCATCTCTACATAATCAAGTTAGGATGTTGTCTCTACAAATGCAAATTCATGTGAATTTCAGAAAAAATTGATAAGCAGCACTTGTGAATTTCTACAAAAATCCTTTAATATGAAGACTTAAGAGACAGATATGGAAAAAGGAATGTGGTTTTTACAGGACATATACTATAATACCATTTCAATCTATAAAAAGTAAAAAAAAAATTCCTTAATATCCTGATACCCAGTGAGTATTCCACTATACTACTATATCTTATTTTAAAAACAGTGATATATAATTGATACACGATAAACTGTGCATCTTTAAAGCACAGGTGGCAGAGGTGATCAGCAATCAATTACATGGGGTCTGAGTGTCAGTGCAGCAAAGAAGTCTTCAGAGCACAGAGTGATATGGGTGCTCTAGTTTACAGGTTGAGAGAGAAGAAAGGACAAGGGTACAATCCCTGCAGAGGGGCCACATTCTGGGACATGTTCCACCAGATGTCCTTACATACATACTTCTGACCTCAGCCTGCACCAGAAAAGGCAGAAATAGGAGCTTCTGTTTCCTAGAGGCTCTCTTCAGCAACCTGCACTAAGAAAATTTAACATCATGACTTACATGGAATTATTTTAGAGCACATATTGAAGATATTTTGGAGCATACATCAGGAGCTAAGGGGTAGAAAATTGATAACTGACATAGTATAGTTCAGGGTTTATGGAACTTCTTGGATCTATGGGTTTATACTTCTCATCAAATTTGAATAATTTTCAGCCACTGCTTCTTTAAGTATTTATTCTGTTCCCCCTTCTATTTTGAGACTCTAATTATACTCATCAGACTACATGAAGTTGTTCCATAGCTCACTGACATTTTTCTCCCCTCTTTTTTCCTTTCTGTGTTTCACTGTGGTTAATTTCTATTGCTATGCCTTCAAATTTCCTCATCTTTTCTTCTATAGTATCTAACCTGCCACTAATGCCAACCAGTGAATTTTTCATCAGACACTGCAGTTTTCATCTAGAAGCTGGTCTGTGTTTATGTATTCCACATTTCTAACTTCTGAACATACAAAAATGCAATTATAATAACTCCTTTAATATTCTTCTATACTAATTCTACCATCTGTAGCTCTGGGTCAGTTTCAGTGGATTGACTATTCTCCTTTTCATGGATCACATTTTTCTGCTTCTTTCCATGCCTGATAATCTTTGAATGCTGGCTGTTACAAATTTTACTATGTAGGGTATTGGATATTTTGTGTTCTTACAGATTTTCCTGACCTTTCCTATGGGATACAGTTAAACTACTTTAGTTTGATCCTTCAGATTTGTAGGCTGGGCTGGGATTGTGGCTTAGCCATAGAGCGCTCGCGTAGCACAGGCGTCCGGGACCTGGGTTCGATCCTCAGCACCACATAAAAATAAAGGCATTGTGTTGTGCCCATCTACACCTAAAAAATAAATGTTAAAAAAAAAAAAAAAGATTTGTCAGGCTGGTCCAGAGAAAGTACTCATTCTGGATCATCCATAATTACTTCCTACAACTGAGGCAAGACCTTCCAAAGTATTCTCTACCCAATGCCCCATGAATTATGAAATTTTCCTGTCTGGCTGATAGCAACAAGCACTTTTGTTATTACCCCGTGAGCACTGGAAACCATTTTATTCCCTTTGAGTTCCCAGTCTTGAGTCATTTGCTTACATGGATTTATTGATCAGCATCTCAAGAGAGACCTTCTGCAGGTCTCTGGGGTTCTTGTCTCTTGTCTTTCTGGTACCCTGCTCTATGCCCAAGGATCAGTTCCACATCAGCTGAGGGAGTCCACTGGGCTCTGCTTTAGACCCTGCCTCTGGTGCCTCAGCCTGGAAAGCCTAAGAAGCTGAGGGAAACTGTATGCCTCACCTCTTATTTCAGGGATCACTATCCCTCACTGCCCAATGCCTAGTGCCTTAAAAAGACTGTCTCATATAGGTTCTGGGGTTTTGTTGTTGTTTTGGTAGGAAGGCAAATTTGGTCTGTTAGTTCAGCTTGGCTAGAAGCCGAAGTCCCCAATGTATCTTTGGAAGCTAATTTATTCAAACAATGATCCACATATTGTATTTGGCTTTCATGTCTCTTAAATCCTTCTTAATCTTAAATTCCCATCCTATATCTCTTTTTCTATGAAAACTGAATAGACCCAGGTACCTGTCCTATGGGATGTCCACTTTCTGGATTTGTTTGGTTGCTGTTAAGTCAATAGACTTGTGTCTCTATCCTAGGAGTTGACAAGCTTTCTGGGAAGATACAGAAAATGAACATTTAGCTTTGTGGGCCATAGATTACCTCTTTCACATAGTCTTCTTTGGTTTACTATATTTGTTTTGGTCGTACTGGGGATGGAACCCAGAGCTTTACACATGCTAGGCAAGTGCTCTGCCACTCTGCTACACCCCCAGCCTTGGGGGAACATTCTCTTTTCTGAATATTATTATAAACTTTTGGATTTTTCTACATTTGTATGTTTAAATCAATTGCAGCCAATTTTCCAGTTGTCCCCCCTTTGGCCAATAAAATCTCTTTAAACTGGCTTCTGTATCCTTTTGACACAATCTCATTAGTTTGTTTTAAATTGAGGAATGATTATTCCATTAGACTGGAAGCATCCTTGCGTCTGACACACATGTCAGCTAAGGCTCAATTCCTGTTTCAGACCTGGAATTAGCTGTTTTGGTGAGCAACCTTAGCTCCTTTCAGTAAGGAATAAATAGAATTTAAGATCTGGTACTACAGGTGCCCATTACTCCTACTATATCCAACCTAATCCATTTTGACCTCTTTGCTTTTGAGGGTATTTCCTCCTGCTATCCTTCATAGTCATTCTCTTACTTATACCATACTTGTTACTACTGAAACATCTCTTGCTAAATACTAAGGTACTACTATTTTTGTCCCAGGTTGCATGACATTACATAACTTTGAATGAATTACTGAATTTCATTAAACAAAAATGAAGTTATAATGCCATTAAAACAATGGGTAGTATCACTTAATTGCTGAGCACCACTGTTATAATGCTATATCTCTGTTAATTACTTATCGGTTGGATTTTTTTTAAAAAAAGAAATTAATTGTCTGCTTTCTACATCACCATCAAGTTTTATAACATTCTGAGCCCAGGATACAATGAATAGCACTGGAGATACAAATAAGTCTAAGACAGTCCTTAGTTTCCTAGTCCCTGAGCTTTAATACCTAGTTGGTGAGATGCAACACAGTAGCTCAAATACAGTTACTATTCACTAAACCAGGTAAGTACTTTATACCATCCACAACTCAAACAACCTTAAAAGGCATCCTGCATGATTCTTTTACTTTTTTATGATTCCTACTTTTTCAGATGAGGAAAATATACAATTTCAAGCTCCCTGAACCTCAACCAGCACAGTCAGTAAACAAAAGAGCCAAAGTAAACCCTGATTTAGTACTCAAACCTGTGCCCATTTCACTATGCTAGACTGCCTCTTAGAAAGAGTGACAGATGAAATACGCCCTAATTTCAGCAAGGCTTAAGGTTTTTGCTTTTATTCTACACAACTTCCTGGCCAGACACTGACTGTGGAACTTAGGAGGAAGAAAAGTTTACTTGGGAGGGTCCTCCATGGCATGGTGTCAATCTAACAAAAAAATCCAAGAGTCCATTTTGTTCCTTACAGATGAAGGAATTAATAAGATACTTGTAACATCAGCTGCTGAAACTGAATCAGGCAAGAACAGCTGTCCCCAATCCTGGTTTCATACTAAAATAGTAACTTCCACCCTTGGCTACAAGATATAATCACCTGATATTAAAAATCCCAATGCCTAGGTCACATCCCAGAGCAGTTACATCAATTCTCTGGGTTGGCCCCAGTGATGGGTATTTGGCTTAACATCTCCTCAGCTGTTGAGCAATCAGAAATGAGAATTACAGCTTTAGAATAAAGAATTATTATTTACTAAGTCACTCTGAATACACGGAGAAAAGATTCCTATTAAGAAAAAAAAAAGGTGAAAATAAGTAGATACAAACAGCAATCTGAAGTCAGAGGGATCAAGCATAGAAACAAGTATTTGCAGGTATCTATGAGTCTCCATTCCAAGAGAGCTTTGAGGAAAGAGATCATTATGGGTCTAGTCTGACTCAGGTAGTCAGAATGTACCTGATAGCTTCTCAGCCCACAATTCCCACCAACAACAGCCACTACTGACTAAGCAATTGTCAGGAGGCTCGATACATTTTCATGTAGTCTTCAATTTTACAATGTAGGTTTCTTTTCTTTATTTGGTGGTGCTGGGTATTGAACCCAGGGCCTCATGCATGTAAGGCAAGCACTCTACCAACTGAGCTATATCCCCAGCCCCCAATATAGGTTTCTATTACACAGATGATGCATAAAAAAACACAAGAGGCCGAGCAAGGTGGTGCATGCCTGTAATCCCAGCGGCTTGGGAGGCTGAGGCAGGAGGATTACGAGTTCAAAGCCAGTCTCAGCAATAGTGAGGGACTAAGCAACTCAGTGAGACCCTGTCTCTAAATAAAATACAAAAAAGAGCTGGGGATGTGGCTCAATGGTTGAGTGCCCTTGAGTTAAATCACCAGTACCCGCCCTCCCCCCAAAAAGACCTAAGATACCTTACATTTGTTTCTAAACAAGTCATCTATCAGGGGTTCACAATTTAAAAGCCATGGATCCTTTGGGGATACCAAGCTGCTCTGAGTGAAGGTATTGCAGATTGAGCACACCCCCTCGACAGATGCTGCTGTGGTTACAGAATACAAATCCTACTGAGAACATACCCTAACAATGTATCACTTGGCACTTTTTTTTTTTATCAATCTATCAATGCTAACACATCTATTAAAAATATCAAGTCTACAATTTTTTATGTCTAAATGTTCTTTTGTGAAGAAACTACCTCATATATTATTAGTGGAAATGTAAAATGGTACAAGCTTCTTTGAAAATCGGTGTGGCAGCATCTTAAAAAAGTTAAGAGACAGGGGTTGTGGCTCAGCGGTAGAGCACTTGCCTAGCAAGTGCGAGGCGCTAGGTTTGATCCTCAGCACCACATAAAAGTAAATAAATAAAGATGTTGTATCCAACTACAACTTAAAAAAAATATTAAAAAGACATACCATACAGTAATTCCACTCCTAGAATTTCACAAATACACTAGTGAAATGAGTCAAACACAAGACTACAAGACTACATAGTGCCTTATTCCATTTATATGAAATAGAAACGGGAATCAGTACAGACAGAAAGCATATCATTATTTGCCTGGGAGTGCAGGTGGGGACAGGAGTGAGGACTGACTGCAGAGGTACGAGGGAATTTTCTGGGGTGACTGAAATATTCTAAAACTGTATTTCAGCAATGGCTGCACAATTCTATACATTTGCTGAATTGTAATATAATTAAATTATACTTCAATAAGGCTGTTTCAAAATATTGTGAAAAGTCATTGAATTAGTTTTAAAAAGCAGGGAGTCTATGCTGAAAGACTGGGAATCAGTGATGGAGAGAAAGGCAAAGGAATTCAGTAAGTGAGTATGTGTTAAAGGAAGTAAAACATTAATTCTCTGATGAGTAAACCTTTTAGTAAACAGTCCAATGCACTACACAGTTCAACTACAGAACTAAGTAATACACGCTTTCTGACTCCTGAGTCTAGTTCTAACTCTTAAGAACTTTGAGACAAGGTGCTGAGCCCTCAGAAGGAGGTGCCCAGAGAGCAGAGTCAACAGGACAGATGCAGAGTGTAAAAAACAAAAGAAAGGTGCTAGCAGAAGAACAAAGGCCACGTGAAGGAAATGGAAACTGAGCTTAGCCTTGGGGGCCCAGGGAACTTCCCAAGAGGGTGGCTGTTACCAGGTACTGGGGGGGGGGGTGGGGAGAGGAGGAGGCAGGAGGATCATTGCAAGGTCCAGGTCAGCCTCAGCCTCAGCAACTTAGCAAGAAACTGTCTAAAAAATCAATCAATCAATCAATCAATCCTTCAGCAAAGAAGTATGCCAGTGAGAAGGGAAGGGGGAGGGAGCCGACTCTTCAATGAATTCTCTGGTCCTGTGTGGGTGGGGAAGTTCACCTTGAATCACCCTAATAAGTCAGTCTCTCCAGCTGACAGTTTAATTCCCCAACAAACACCTTTAAAGGGCCCCATGTTTTGGAAGACACATTGTCATTCATTCTTTCTTGTTTTTTGTTTTTAAACAAAAAAGACTATTATATACACAAATTCCTTTCACTTTAAGGATAAACCATCACAGGAAAAGAAAGGCTTTTTAATTCAAACTCTGTCAGTTTTGAAACAGGATGTTAATTTTCAAAGACTGGCCTCAATTCTACCACATTGTGTTCAATTTCAATTTAGTTTTGAGAAATAAGTCAAATATTTAAGTAGAAGGCAAGGCTTTGAGTTGACTTGAAATAATAACTGGTATGCTCTTCAAAGAGCTCCTGTTAAACACTGAAGTTCCTCTTCAATAATATATGTCTGTCTGCAGCCTTTTATGTAAACAGACTGTATAAAACAAAACCTATTGTTTCAGTAAACATTTATTTTTTACTGAAAAAACTGTTAACCCTGTTATTTGACAAAGATTTTCATAACACATTTGCATTGACCATAGTTTCCCTGGCTCTCTGACCTTCGATGACTCATATCCTCTTGGGCCTTAGTTGTTTCTTCAACTGTGAGATCAAAGGGTCAGGCTAGATTACACAGGTTAACCTCATCCTTCAACAACCGAAATACCAAGGGTTCTCACCATCTTAAAACCTTAAAATTTACAGTCAAATTAGTGATCGCCTACTCTTTCAGTCTTCAGAATAAATTCATAGCCTTTTTTGGATCCCTGCCAAATGCATGGCACTAAGCATTGTTGGGGATAAAAACCAGTTAAAGACACAGTCTTTGCCCTTCAGGTTATCTAAAACCTAGGAGGAAGCCGGGCATGGTGGCATACACCTGTAATCCCTGTGGCTTGGGAGGCTAAGGCAGGAAGATTGGGAGTTCAAAGCCAGCTTCAGCAACTTAGTGAGGCACTTGGTAACTCAGTGAGACCTTGACTGTAATAAAATATATAAAAAAGGGCTGGGGATATGGCTCAGTGGTTAAGCAACCCTGGGTTCAATCCTCGGTACTAAAAAACAAAAAACCTAGGAGGAAAACAAACATGAGGCACAACATTAAGTGACAAGAAAATTTAGACAACAAAAACAAAATACAAACAAAAATTCAGACCATAGGCTCTATCATTTAGATAAATTAAGAGTTTGATATAAAGCATCCCCAAATATTCCTACCTTTGGTGGGCAATATCAAGGATAATGATTATGTTCCATGTACTGCCACCACCATATGTGGTGGGATGCTGGACACACAGTACAGCAGGTCTCATATTCCTTACCATTAGTCTTTTTTTCTGTACAATAATGATGGAAAACAGGTCCTAAGTGATAAACTGTATTGAGAATTCAGTTCACGCTTTTAATTTATATATTAGAATATATGGAAGCAATATCTGCCTTAATCATTAATGTAAAAGGAAAGACCTGCTATGACTTCTCTGACATCATAGTTACGTCTTGCCTGCACTCTGAACCTGACTAGAAGTGTCACAGGAGAAGGAATAACTGGTATTCATAGCAACATCACCAGACGGGAACCATGTAGAAAGCTGTAACCTAGCAACTGATGACGAGAGGTGTGTAAGGGGAATTCTTCCAGCTCTGCAAATGACAAACATACAGCACTGAATGCAACTAAGCATATGAGGGCAATGTGGAAAATCTGACTTACCTGTGGAGAGCTGGGGAGTGTCAGCCTCACAAAACCCCAGAACTAAGACATATCGCTTCAAACAGGAAAAGCATAGCAACACCTCCTCACTCCCAATACCACCCATCATATGCATGGAAAGTACTTATGTGTCATGAAATGGAATGGAAAATAAATTTTGGTGAGACACAGTCATCTCAACCTCTACTTTCTCCATATACAGAGGCAGTGAATTTGGATGAGAAGACACCCCAGTCTCAGAGAAGTTGGAATATGTTCTGCATGCAAAGAAAGTGGCATCACAAACCTGACAGAGTTACAATGTACTACATCACATGAGAACCCCAGCCCTCCACAATCTTCTTTCTTCTTTCTCCTAAGCAGCACAAAATTCGGATGTCTGGAGGGTCACAGACAGGGAAACTGAGGTCCAGAATGAGGATTTATTCAAAGTCAGAAAGCTAGTGATGAAGCAGAGGCAAAAACCCAGGTCTTCTGGTTTCCAGGCTAATTCTTTCCATTAAAGCACAATGCTACTTTTCTTCTTATATTTAAACAGAAACTCTTAATAGGAATGAGAAATAAACTCCTTTTATGTGAAGCTACTGAGATGGTAGGGCTTAGCTATCATGACAGTTGGTGTTACCCTACCTAACGTAACTATGAATAGGTCTATCCTACCCTAAGGCAATCTGAAAAAGATACCTACTTTTTTATTTTAGGGATTCTGGATCAATTTCCAAGGAATTCATCCAACTCTGTGATTATCGGATATTATCTGAGTATAGAAGACTAAAAGGCTTCTCTATTTCGGATAGAGCAGTGTATGTGTACATACGCTATGTCTGCCTTAGAATCCTACCTAGTTAGAAATGAAAAGATTTTGTAACCTGCCACTCTAACCCCTTCAGAAAATTCAAGCCCAGGAAGGGAATTTCAGGACTCTACTGATACTGATGTAGCCGAGGTTCTGGTTGTTCACCTATCCATTCCTTCTCCAGGACACAGAGCAGGCCTATATTTCCCAGCCTTTCTCATAACTGAGTATGGCCTTGTGATGGATCACAAGGCCATATTCAGTTATGAGGATCAAAGCAATGTGCACCATTTCCAGGCACAGCCCATAGAAACCTTCCAAGCTTTTTCCTTTCTTCTATGACCTTGGAACCACCTGTTAAAGATAGCAGTCACAAGACAGAGGGGGAGAGCTGCCTGAAGTGAGCACAGCTCACCAGTCAGGAACATTAGTTTTTAATTCCTCTGTTAAGCTACTAAGATTTGGTTATTTATCTGTTACAGCAATGTCAATATTAACTGACAAAACCATAACTATGCTTACCTCTCTACAAAAAATGAATACAACCCTTTTCTTTTTTTTAAAATATCTTTATTTTATTTTTATGTGGCGTTGAGGATCGAACCCAGTGCCCCGTGCATGCCAGGCGAGTGCGCTACCGCTTGAGCCACATCCCCAGCCCATCTTTTTTTTTTTTTTTTTTTAATATTTTGGTTTTTGTTGTAGTTGGACACAACACCTTTATTTTATTTATTTATTTTTATGTGGTGCTGAG